TCTCATCCGGGGCAAAAGGGCCGCTTTTATCCACTTGTTCCGTAGCGGAGACCGTGCGTGTAGACATATTCAATCATTCATATTTGGAAAATGTACACCCCGTGACTCACTCTCAACCAATCAGAATGCTGGATTTCATCTACTTGGGTTATACTACTCGGTAATATTCCATGTAAATAATAAAGATCTGTCGAGTTCAAACTTTTTATCGAGTCGGAACAACTCTTCCTCAAATTCTAGCGTGCAACGTTTCAGCCTTTAGTTTGTTATTCACGGTGAAGATCTTCCAGCTTTCAAACAGTCAATAAGAGTCATCCGCAGCGATTAACATCCTTAAAGACACGATATACATTCTAAGGTTTACCTGCAGCGAGAAGGTAAAAGATGTGGATCAATGCCGCTCCTCCAGCGGGCGTAAAACTCCTTTTGCTCTGCAAAATGCTGCGACTCCACCCAAGAAACGAAACCTAAGGGATTCTTGTTTGTGAAACTCCTCCCACGATGCATTTCCCGTTTGAGTGATTAATTTATTTTCAACAACCCGACTCCCTAAAAGGGAACGACGGTTAGATAAAGTGGCCTTATGTTATAAGGAATTATATATATATGTGTGTGTAATATATATATATGCTTTTCTTATTCCGTATGTCTGACATGTCATGGCAATAAATGTTTCCTGATTTCTGATTTATCGTGTTGCAAAAACTTCCTTCCTCAAATTCTAGCGTGCAACGTTGCAGCCTTTAGTTTGTTATTCACGGTGAAGATCTTCCAGCTTTCAAACGTTCAATAAGAGTCACCCGCGGCGATTAACATCCTTAAAGACACGATATACATTCTATGGTTTACCTGCAGCGAGAAGGTCAAAGATGTGGGTCAATGCCGCTCCTCCAGCTTTGTCAAACTCCAGCGGGGGTAAAACTCCCTTTGCTCTAAAAAATGCTCCAACTCCACCCAAGAAACATTACATGTCAAATGAAACCTAAGGGATTCTTGTTTGTAAAACTCCTCCCACGATGCATTTCCCGTTTGAATGATTCGTTTATTATGAACAACAGCCTCCCTAAAAGGGAACGACGGTTAGATAAAGTGGCCTTATGTTATAAGGAATTATATATATGTGTGTGTAATATATATATATGCTTTTCTTATTCCGTATGTCTGACATGTCATGGCAATAAATGTTTCCTGATTTCTGATTTATCGTGTTGCAACAACTTCCTTCCTCAAATTCTAGCGTGCAACGTTGCAGCCTTTAGTTTGTTATTCACGGTGAAGATCTTCCAGCTTTCAAACGTTCAATAAGAGTCACCCGCGGCGATTAACATCCTTAAAGACACGATATACATTCTATGGTTTACCTGCAGCGAGAAGGTCAAAGATGTGGGTCAATGCCGCTCCTCCAGCTTTGTCAAACTCCAGCGGGGGTAAAACTCCCTTTGCTCTAAAAAATGCTCCAACTCCACCCAAGAAACATTACATGTCAAATGAAACCTAAGGGATTCTTGTTTGTAAAACTCCTCCCACGATGCATTTCCCGTTTGAATGATTCGTTTATTATGAACAACAGCCTCCCTAAAAGGGAACGACGGTTAGATAAAGTGGCACAATACAAAAAGTCTGGAAACCACAGTTTTATTATAGAAAACCACTACAACATTTAAATATGAAATCTTGCTCCGAATAGTATTTAACTGCAGCTTTCAGATAAGTGTGCTAGTGTAAGAAGTAAAGCATTCCCTCGAGAACTGTAGTGGATTTACAAAGTAACTTAAAAAGGAAAGAATGTCTCCCAAAATACTACCAAAAGTAATACCTTGAATTAAATAGTTCTATAATTTTGAGGTTAATTAAAAACTACATTTTTACAGACACTCACATATAGTTACATATGAATATTGCTTTCACGCCAGACATCATGAAAGTCTCTAATAAAACCAGATACGGTCGCTGGCCGCTTATGACAAAAAGTCGCCAGGAGGGTTTGGAAAGTCAATTTACCAAAGAAGGAGCCTGCGCATGCACATACCTTAAGTCATAGTTTAGACTTTCTTACCCTTCTTTTTTTCTGTTGGCTTGGTTACATTTTTTTCAGCCATGTTTATATTTGCTCTGGTGAAAAACCGGACGTATTGAATCCATTGTAACCGTCATGGATTTAAAGGCTCACAGCAAGTGCTCCCTGTGTGACTAACCACCCTAAAGGCTTTTAAAACCACATTTCAGTCACACAAGAGTTTGATCCGCGATGTTGCATGCGCATCACAATACATACTGCAATGACATAAATATACACGGTATGCACTCATATCGTTCTGTTTTATCGCAAAGGAAGAAGACTGCCTCATCAGCACATCATGCACAACTAGTTTAACTTGTTTGACCTGACCTTCATCAAGAGGCATATTTAGTTTGGACACTCACCAATATAAAAATACCTTGTACAAACACAAACCACATGTCAAAAGCTTATTCTTTGCAAAGAATGTTCAGTGGTCGTACAGACTGCAGGCACTCGGCGCAATTAAGAAATAACAAGACAACAGTTGTGTTGTCTATTTAACATATGCAGAAATAGGAGGTTTACACTGCTGCTTCACAATTCACTTTCCAAGGTACACGTCTACTAACAGGTATAAAGTACTATGTTAGCATTTATCACACCTTTAAAATATAGATTTAGTATTTGGGAAGTGTAGATTTGTGTTAGAAAATAATTTGTTGATCTTATAATAAGAGTAATGTTAAGAACAACATAAAGAAGCTTTAAGATCCTTTTGGAACATGAATAACAAAGAAGCCCATGTGACACTTTGGAAGACAAAACAATTAATCACTAAATAATAAGAAACCAAAAAGGAGAGTTGGTTGATTACTGTCATCTAGTTCCATCCCATTTTTGATACATTACAGGTCATTTAGCAGACGCTTTTATCCAAAGCGACTTACATTACACTTATAACCCACGGCTTTTCACATTTTGCCCGGGGAGCAATTAGGGGTTAGGTGTCTTGCTCAGGGACACTTCGACATGGAACATGGGGCAGCCTGGAATTGAACCAACAACCTTGTCCTTCCCAGCACACCTTCTAACCCCTGCGCCACGACGACCCACATGATACATGAATTACCACATTTAGAAAACATTATTTTGCAGCAATCAAGTTTTATCTTTGAAAATGAAAGAAAACATTTAAAAAAAAAATCATTTAAAAACTAAAAGGCCACATGAACATATAATATCTCAAATCGCTATGAATATGTATGTATTGTATGTTTGATGAAAATGGTTGAGACCAAATCCAGAGGCCTCACGTCTCAAAGGGTTCGGGCTCTTCAGCTGCCCATCAGCTGTTCAGCAGCTTGGCGGACGAACTAGTGATTAAAGGAACATCAGAGTTATTCAGAACAGCTCAATACGGAGTCATCATGTAGATATTTTAACAGCTTTTACCAAACTACTGGTCTTCTGCGCTTCCCTTCAGTCCTTTATAGTGGTTCTTCACCATATTAAGCTCCTCTGCAACATCTAAAAAAACATAATGTTAACATGAATTTCACTGAAAGTCACACGATTCGAAATTTGTTGACAGATATTTTGTATTTTTAGAGATTATCATGTTTTTATTTACCTGGGATTGAGTAACCGTCTGTCTTGAGCGACAGCTCGATTGATTCCTGCATCGTCTCTTTCAGGTCCTTCAGGATGTCGTCCTAAATTATTAGAAATATCTTCATCACTCACATATTATATGTATTTCAGACACTAATGACTGAATAATGTAAAGGGTGAAGTGTGGCGTGCACAGTTTTAGTGTAAAAGCTTTAGCAAAAAAGATATTCCAATTATTTACTGTATACTATGTTTATATACATACACACATATAATTTTTTTTTTTTTAATATTGACCAAAAATAAGATTAAAATGTCCTCATTGTTTGATGTATAAAATACTACAAACCATCAAGCTTCTCAGCTGGTTCAACATGACCTTTTTAGCATGTTTAAACATGATGTTTTTTGAATCTTGAACGCGCTTCTTCATCATTTCCCTCATGTTTCTCAGGGAGTTATCTCCTCTAATTTCTTTTGCATCTACAATAAAACAGAAAACATTTTTCAAAAAATAATGTGCACATTGAAAGTGTCAGGTTTTACATTTCCTGATCTTTTATCGTACCGTCATAGCATTTCTGCATTGATTCCTCAACTGTTGTCATCAGACTGCTGTAGATCCTTTTCTTGCGGTCGCGGATGATTTCGATGAGCTTCTTCTTCATCTTAATTTCCTGAGAGAATATGAAAAGATCCACACATTTTAAATACAATCAGGATAATATAAAAATCAGGCTCCTCTTGTGTCTCCTCTCTTCTCACCCTTCTACTTTGGCCTTTCTGACCTGCACTAACAGCTACACAGTGGACTAATGGTACACTTCTCTTCCTTTACCTCTGCATTGAGAAACTCCAGTTGAAGTTCCACATCTTTGTACTCTGGATTCATTTTCATCCTCTTTGTGTCAAGTGAAAACGAATTGAGTTTTCCGTTGAATGGTCCACAATTGACTTCATTTCTGAAACATTTCAACAAGTTTGTACTTCAATAAAGTAATATAAATGTATGTATTATATCACATAACTGTTATTACTGCATAATGTATGAACTGTTAATTCCAGGGATAGTTTGTACAACCAGCCTGCACAAGGTTTATGTCTTTATTAAGTTATTTCTTACGGGAAGGTCTCCTTGAATTTCTCATCGATGCTCTCAGTCAGGTATGAAGATAACGCCATGTTGAGATTTATTTGTTTCTTCTTTTTTTGATTTTTTTTTCTTCCTGCGTTGTGGATGCCATTGTGCTCGACTAAACACCGCAATGTCTTGTGGAAACCACCTCCTGGTTTTCTCTTTGAAACCAAACCGAAAAATAAACATTTCAACAATGTGAAGTGCAACAACCGTTACAATGATGTATTAATACTGTTGAAGTCTTAATTTGTATACTTACAGGATTTATCACCGACTCCAAGACTTTTTCACAGTAACTTTCAGATTTTTCAACTCCCGCACTGAGGCAGTTTTCAAAAGCCTGGTAAGTTTCTTCCATTTGTTTATGGACTTTTTCAAGTTCATCCGTCATCTTTTCTTCAAGGATTGTGCACACATCTTTCTTTATCTCCGACTGTAATAAACAACAACACATTCAGCATTCAAAGCAATGAAACCATAAAGTTACTTGATTTTGAGTGAGACCCCCTTTAAATTACTTTGTTTATGCAGCCTCTCTGAAGGAAAACAATTCAGGGATACAACTGACTTGATTGGTAAAATGTTTGGAACACATTTAGGACGTCTGTCTTTTACTCAACAGTGTTTTCTCATTATATTCTGTGAATATGAATGATTATTAAAATCAAAGAAAGAGATGTGATCACTTGATCTTACCCGTCCTCTGTGGCTGGCCCCTTGAATCAGAGAGAGGATCCCGCGGGCTCCGGACACGTAGTTCAACGTCTCTCTGTGACAGTCATTGAGCTCCTGCAGGAACTCCTGAAGTTTGGGTATTTCTGTAAAAAAGTGTAATTCCAATATCCAATTATTCCATT